TGTAACAATATTTAATTTATTTATTTACAAAGTAAAAATTTAAGAACAAGTGTTTAATGTTTGAGAAAATGTTGCTTACTTTCAGGCACAAAGGAAATTGTAATAGTTATTCTCTGGAAAGACAATTTGGACTAGAGACTAGACTATAGACTAGACAACAGGCTAGACAATAGACTAGACTATAGACTAGACTATAGACTAGACTATAGACTAGACTACAGACTAGACTACAGACTAGACTAGACTAGACTAGACTAGACTATAGACTAGACTATAGACTAGACTATAGACTAGACTATAGACTAGACTATAGACTAGACTATAGACTAGACTATAGACTAGACTATAGACTAGACTATAGACTAGACTATAGACTAGACTATAGACTAGACTATAGACTAGACTATAGACTAGACTATAGACTAGACTATAGACTAGACTATAGACTAGACTATAGACTAGACTATAGACTAGACTATAGACTAGACTATAGACTAGACTATAGACTAGACTATAGACTAGACTATAGACTAGACTATAGACTAGACTATAGACTAGACTATAGACTAGACTAGACTAGACTAGACTAGACTATAGACTAGACTATAGACTAGACTATAGACTAGACTATAGACTAGACTATAGACTAGACTATAGACTAGACTATAGACTAGACTATAGACTAGACTATAGACTAGACTATAGACTAGACTATAGACTAGACTATAGACTAGACTATAGACTAGACTATAGACTAGACTATAGACTAGACTATAGACTAGACTATAGACTAGACTATAGACTAGACTATAGACTAGACTATAGACTAGACTATAGACTAGACTATAGACTAGACTATAGACTAGACTATAGACTAGACTATAGACTAGACTATAGACTAGACTACAGACTAGACTTTAGACTAGACTATAGATTAGTCTATAGACTAGATTATATTTTAGTCTATAGACTAGACTCCACAGTATGGACTACATCAAATTATAAACTAGTCTAAAATGTCTAATTGCTTCTTGAATATTTTAAAACTGAATTAACAGACGGTTTTTCTAGTCCCTTTTGAAGTATTTCAATTTTCCATAAAATCTTTCCCTTAACACTTGCTTTATTATGGTATTTCATGCCAGTCCTTTAAAATCATAGCAAATTCCTGCACCGTTCTACATCACGATATGAGATTTACAAAAATATTTAGCATATTTTTAGGCCTCTTAACTAAACAATCTAATACTTAAATGTACCTATTTCTTATAAACCCACATTTGATTTCAAATAAGATGAGTTTGTTAATATAAACCTTTTTTCTGTAGCAAACATTTTCTTGGTTTCATTTTAGTGTAATGAAACCTTTAAGCATTAAAATCTCTAAATGAAAAAAAATGTAGCTAATTTTCATTTGTAGCTAAACATATTTTGCTCAATATCCACCACCAGCCACTTCTACCAAACACTCATTATGGAATTTCCAAACGTGCTAAGATGCTTACAATTAATATGCAGGCCAGGTAATGTCTTAAACGAGTCGTGAAAATATTTTCTTGTAATATTTTTTTTTTTGCTGTTTACTTTAGTCTCCCATAAAATCTGCAAATCCTAAGGGATGCCAAAGTAAAGTCAAGCCAAACAACAACTAAACAGGCAGCTTCAACGAGGCAACAGCAGTCTCTAACGGAAACGGAAGTATAACAAACGTTTGTAACTAACCGTAGTTTTATGCCAATGAGAACAAAGTTAACGCCGTTACGGAAATAAGCTTTAATTTATGAATTATGCATAAAAAAACGCAAAAAAAACATTTGAATGTAAAAGAATCTTTAGGAAGACACAGGAAAAAACACCAAAAAGGATACGACAAGACGTGGCTGTTTAAGAAATATTCCCAGCTAACAAAGCAAAGCTTTTTTCTATAGTTCTTCTTTTTTTAATATTTTAATATTCCTGGCAAGACATAAAAATAGAATTTTACTTAGTTGACTTTATTATTGGCATTCCAAAGCCAAAGAGTGAAGGGCGGTACCAACTAAGAGCAAAATAAAATCTCCTACAACAACAGCAAACAAAAATTAAACAATTTTCATTTAAAATTCTTGTCATGTTAAGGGGTTTCTGCTCAGCTTTAGTAGACACATACACACACCAGCATAAAGTTTCTTTTCCTTTTTGCTTTCCTCTTTTTTTCTAAGAACTTTTTAGGTTTTCCTTTTGCTGGCTGCCTTTATTCAATTAGCTTTTTGTGTAAAAATATTATTTTGCACCAAAAAAAAAAGAGAGAAAAAGAGAAACACTATGAATATCATTATAATGAAAGAAATATTGTATAGCATACTTTTCGGAGGTTAAAGTAATTAATACCCAACTTTAAAGTTTCTCTTCAAATTTTTTGTAACATTCTGCAACGCCTTTTGTAAAATGGTTATTTACCGGTTTTTTTTATAAAAGGTTTAAATAGCTTTAGCAGAGTATGAGTGAACAAAATGGTTTTGAAATTAATTTGCTAAACAAAAGAAGAAAAAATACAGCTATACGAGAAATTAATTATAATTGATAAAGTTGCAAAATTTTTAAATTAAAGCATATTTTCAGGCCGTAAATAATAAACTTAGTTTAAAGTTAGTGGGATGATTTTGGGTGAACTTTCTCTGAAAGTTGTAACACACTTGATGAGTTCATATTTAATTGACCTTCTTTTTTTTGGGGGGTGAAGCACAAAAGTTACTAAACTTTCTGGGGTTAATTGTTAACTAGCTGAGAAGTAAAAGGGATTTAGGGACGAGCTTATTAAAAACAGGAGAATATTAAGAAAAAGTAAATGTTTTTTTATAATTCAAAAAAAAAACTAAATAATTTATGGTGAGTTTTTTTTATAAAATTAATTAATTAGGTGTTTAAGAATGAACTTAGCTGGAAAACTATAGCATAACTTTTAAAGATATATATTTAGAGCATACTTAAGGGATAAGAAAAATTATAAATTATCATAGTCTAATACAAAGTATAGTTAAGTCTATAATCTATTCTAAATCCTAGTCTGTAGTCAATTGACTAGTCTATTCTATAGTCTAGTCTATAGTCTAGTCTATTGTCTAGTCTATAGTCTACTCTATAGTCTCTATATAGTCTCTATATAGTCTAGTCTATTGTCTAGTCTATAGTCTATTCTAAAGCCTAGTCAGTAGTCTAGCCTATAATCGAATCTATAGTCTAAACTATAGTCTAGTCTATAGTCTAGTCTATAGTCTAGTCTATAGTCTAGTCTATAGTCTAGTCTATAGTCTAGTCTATAGTCTAGTCTATAGTCTAGTCTATAGTCTAGTCTATAGTTTAGTCTAGTCTATATTTAGTTTACATTAGCATATAGTCTAGTCTGTTAGATTCTACAGTGAATAAATGTTTCATTGAAATTTTGTTTTGCCGTTTATCTTAATTTGTCTAGTCTATAGTCTAGTCTATAGTCTAGTCTATAGTCTAGTCTATAGTCTAGTCTATAGTCTAGTCTATAGTCTAGTCTATAGTCTAGTCTATAGTCTAGTCTATAGTCTAGTCTATAGTCTAGTCTATAGTCTAGTCTATAGTCTAGTCTATAGTCTAGTCTATAGTCTAGTCTATAGTCTAGTCTATAGTCTAGTCTATAGTCTAGTCTATAGTCTAGTCTATAGTCTAGTCTATAGTCTAGTCTATAGTCTAGTCTATAGTCTAGTCTATAGTATAGTCTATAGTCTAGTCTATAGTCTAGTCTATAGTCTAGTCTATAGTCTAGTCTATAGTCTAGTCTATAGTCTAGTCTATAGTCTAGTCTATAGTCTAGTCTATAGTCTAGTCTATAGTCTAGTCTATAGTCTAGTCTATAGTCTAGTCTATAGTCTAGTCTATAGTCTAGTCTATAGTCTAGTCTATAGTTTAGTCTAGTCTATATTTAGTTTACATTAGCATATAGTCTAGTCTGTTAGATTCTACAGTGAATAAATGTTTCATTGAAATTTTGTTTTGCCGTTTATCTTAATTTGTTGCCTTCAAAGTGACAATAAAAAATCTTTGCAAAATTTTGCATAAACAAATTTTATCTTGCAATTCTTTAGTTTTAACAACTCCTACACCAAATACCTTTTGACCTTTTTTCCCAAATACTTTGTTGCTATTTTAACATTGTTAGTAAGCTGCATTTCATAGTGTCCTTCCATTCCTCCTGCAGTTGGTCACTTAAACTATAGTTTTCCCCATAAAGTTTTTCATATTTTTAATGTTTTTGCATAATATTTTCTTAGACAATGGTAGTTTGGTATGTCTTTATTGTCTCTTTTGCCCACTATAAAACAAACTTTTCGTTTTCTACCAAAAACCAAAAAAAAAAAAAAAAAAAAAAAAAAATAAAACTAAAACTAAAAACATAAATACATTTATAAAATTCTTTAGAGAGTCTTTAATCATCTTATTTTATAGACAAACAAATTTTGTTTTCTTGGCACTTTTTTATTGGGGGGAAAATTTAGCCAGAGATGCTGGCAAATGAGTTAAGGGCAAGTAAAGAGAAAACTTTGTAATCATGTTGTTATTTGTTTATTTTCGTTGTAAAATTTGCTAAATTAAGGGGTCTTGTAGTTCAGTTTTGACAGTTTTTTCTGATAGATTGCTAAACACTGTAAAGTTTATTTGACAAATATTATAATAGATCATCAAAGAGAATGGGGGGGGGGGGTGGTATTAAAAGAAATAGCAATTGTTTTAAATAGTTATAAGTTAAAAGTATAAAGGGATTTTGTTGTGAATAACGTTGTTTATAATTAATATTTATAATATTAAACCTAAAAGTATGCTTTGTTTTTAAAACATAACTAGCGACTAAAAGTATGCTGTATTTAATATTTACATGTATATTGTTATTATATGATATTTTCCTTTATTTTCTTTTTAATGTTATTTAATTCTTTTAAAACTGCTGAAATAAATTATTTAGCGCATAAAGTTCTGTTGTTTTTCTCACTTACCTTCTTTTATCGAATACCTTGGATTACTCATGTCAACTCTTGTCTGATTTTTAATCCAATATATATTTGGTGTGGGATTACCAATTGCTTTACACTGCATCGTTGCCGTATGACCAACTTCAATGACACGCGTACTAGGACCCTGTGTGATTACAGGGAAACCAGGAGGAGTTTTATCACCTGAAAAAAAATCAAAAAATATATTTAAATATATTTTAATTTTTTATAATAAATTGTTTATAACATTTATTAAATATAAATATTTAAATAAAAAAACTTTCAATTTAAGTCCATTATTTGTTTGAATATTGTGTATTGTGTTTATAATAAAATATTATAAATAACTAAAATCCCCTCAAAACAAAAAGAAAACAAGTAAGAAATTATGGTCGGGCGAGGCCGATCATATAATACTCTACACCTGTAAAAAAATAAAATGTGATTTAGTTTTCATAATAAAGCATTTAAGTTGAATTGTACCTTGCCTTGAATTATACTTAAGCCATTTATTGTTGAACAAAATTGTGGACATTTAAGTAAAATTTTGAAGGAGGCTTTGTATAGGGGCTAGGGCCAAATGAGAAGCTATAATTACAAAATTCATGAGGGTCATCAAGGCTAGTATAGAACTTGATTTTGCAGCTTTTTGTCGAGATACGAGTATAAGTATTAAACATAATTATGAACTTAAAAGCCCTATTCGGAGGGTTCAGTTGTATGGGGCCTAGGTGATAATAGACCGATCTTAATCATTTTCAAAAGGCTTCGTCCCTGGGACAATAGAAGATCATGTACCAAATTTCATTGAATTATCTTCAAAATTACGACCTGTAGTTTGATTACAAGGTTTACATGGACGGACGGACAGACGGACGGACAGACAGACGGACAGACGGAGGGACATAACTAAATCGACTCAGAAAATGGTTCTAAGCCGATTGGTATACTTTAAGGTAAGTATAGGACCAATATTATTGTACGTTACAAACATCAGCACAAAACCAATATATCCTCCCCACTAAAGAGGTGTAGGGTATAAAAATATTTAAATATTTATGCATACAAATAAATAAAGGAAAAAAGAAAAACAACAAAAAAGTTGCCAAAGCTTATTTACACGTTTCAATTAAATCCTTTCACAGTGCTGTTAATACAGAGTTATTTTTTTTTAGCTTGAGTGTCCTTTTTGGGTTTTGTTTGTTTGGTCGTTTGGGAAAGAGCACAAAGTTTTAGTTTTATAACTATATAGGGTAAGAGTTTTTGTATATTTCATAAAAGCAAAGACGTTTAAGCAAAATATACAAAATGCTCCCTGTGGTTTACTCAACCTGCAAATGAGTGTTAGTTACAGAAGATCCTGTACACCGATCTACAGTAAATGATCAAGTAAGAGACATATTAATGAATACAAGCTTATCTAATCATTAGCTTGTCATAGTTTTTTTCAAAATCTTATCAAATTGATCGATTGTTCAATCTACCGATCGTTCACTAGGTGATCTAAAAATAAGCTACAAAAACTGAAACCTTCAAAACAAAAGTCTATTGTCGCTATAGCCCTAGATCTTCATAAACTTAAGGGTACTAAATATTCCAAATAGATCTGGGTTTTATAAACCTGGTAAAAACTAAAAAAAAGCAACACTAGTAAGTATCTGTGTGTGTGTGCGTATTGTAAGCTTGCTGGTATGTGTTAAGCTTTGTAGTTTTTTCTTTTATATTTTTTATAAATTTTTTATATTGTGTGTGGTTTTTATATAGTATTATTGTATGTGTGTACATATGTATATCCTTTTTTGTTACTTTCGCTGTTGTTGTTATTGTTATTATTGTTTTTATGCAATATTTATATTAAAACGTGTCTGGCGTGAAATTAAAATAATATTATCAACACATACATAACCAGGCAGACTTACAAAAATTTACATACACACACACACATACATATTTCCAAACAAATCCTCGCCATTGCCCAAGGAGTAAATGTATCCCTTTTAATTTTCACTAGTTCCTTACTTTATGGTTTACAGTTTACATATTTTATGTAATCTTTGGAATATAGAGTAAGGACATACGCCACTTTATTGTCTCCCAGTAATGTAGCAGAAAGCCAATCACTTAAGATTCTCTAAGTAATCTAGAGCGATGCAGGTTTGTATATTCTGCAGGACATGTGAATGTATATGCATAAACACATGTTAAGTCTGTTTGTTGTTGGTGTGAAAGCAAGTGTAAGTGTAAAAGCTTTTTATATTTCTCTTTATATATATATATGTGACAAAAAACAATACAACACAAAAACAACAAAGTTTTTTCTTTATTTTTGTAACAAAAAACACTGCAACACAAATACATGTTCGTATGCAAACAAAAACGCAAAACAAAAAAATAAAGAAAAAAAATCCTGCAAAAAAACACCAATTTTGGAATTAAAGACTTTTATGCATATAAACAGATATTAAAACCGACACTGAATGAATATGTTGCATGTACAATGTTAATGTTTTTTTGTTGCTGTTGCAGTGGCAGTAGTAGTTTTATACTTTTGTTTTTTCAGCATTTTTGTTGGCAGTGTAAAGTTGACACTTGGCATTTTCATTGTTTTTGTGTAATTTGTGGATGTTTTTTTTTTCTTCGCTTTTATTTAACTTTTTGTTTGTTGTTGTTGTTTATAACCAAAAAAATGTAGCTGTTGGAAAAAACAAAATGTAAAAGTATTAAAGTAAAGTGTTGTTATCGTTAGTATTAAACAAATGCAATAAAATATAGAATGCCAAAGATCATGATGCCATAAATATTCCTTAAGGAAATTTAACTTTAAAGAGAATAAGCAGACTAGACTATAGTCAAGATTATAGACTAGACTGTAGTCCAGACTATAGTCTAGACTGTAGTCCAGACTATAGACTAGACTATAGTCCAGACTAGTCCACACTATAGAGTATGGTATAGCCTATAAACCAAACTATAGATTATACTGTAGACTATAGCCAAGATTATAAACTGGACTGTAGTACAGACTATAGACTAGACTGTAGTCCAGACTATAGATTAGACTATAGCCCAAACTATAGAGTATAGACAAACTATAGATCATACTATAGACTACACTATAGTCCAAAGTAGTCCATACTTCAGACTAGACTAAAGTCCAGACTATAGACTAGACTGTAGACCAAACTATAGAGTAAAGTATAGCCTATAGACTAAACTAAAGTCCAAACTATAGAATAGATTATAGTCTAGACTATAGTTTAGATTATAGTCCAGACTTCAGACTGAACTATAGTTCATACTATGGAATAGACTATAGCCAAGACCTTAGAGTAGACTATAGTTCAGATAATATTCCAGATTGCACTATAGTCCAGACAACAGACTAGACTATATTCGAGACTACAATCCACACTATAGACTATACTATATTCCAGACTATAGTCATGACTAGTCCAAACTATAGACTATACTATTGACCAGCCTATAGACTAGACTATAGAACACTCTATATACTACATAGTCTATACAGTAGTCCAGACTACAGACTATAGTCCATACTGTTTATTAGCCTATATTCCAGACAATACCCTTAACTATAGACTAGTATATAGTCCAAACTCCGTGTTTGTGTTTCTTAGCAAAACAAAAAAAAAATAATAATAAATCATATCAAATCCTAACAGACTTCAGAATTCCATTTCTCATGATTCTTTTGTAAATAGTTTATATCGAATCTAAGAAATTCAATTATCTTGAAAGCAAAATAACAAAAATTCAATTAATAACTTGACCCCAACAACAAAATCAATAAATTTCAATAATATTTTGTTGAAAAGTTTTTTTCTTCATTCATTCTTCATTCTCTTGATTAAAATACATAAAACAATACTTTGCGGAAATTGATAACGGAACATGACACAAATACATCAGTATGCAAACACACACACACGTGCACACAAACACAAAGGTAGACAGGAAAACAGGCGAACAGATAAACAAGTAGGCTGGCAGAATAACAGGAAAACAAATAAATAAACATACTTACACTGACAAATTCTCTCTCTTTACTTATATATATAGACACACATACATGTGTATATAAAACAAACACTCGTGTAAGGAAGAAAACAAACCTACAATTCATATAGAGAGCGTAACATTATAAATAATATACTCATTCAAACCCCTACAAACAATCTCCTCTTTTATGTTTTTTTTTTGTTCCAGCAAACAAACAAAACATTTATTTTCAATCATTTTTGTTTTTGAAGCCGTATCTTAACTGTATTTGTATATAACTTCATATACACGGATCTCTATACCATTTTCATGTATAAAGTACTAAACATACCCCTGTTGTTAGGCAGTATTCTTCTCAAATTTAAAACTAATTCAAACTTTTATTTACTATAAAGCTGGGAATAATCCTTAACTTAGTGTTCCTAGGTAATAGATAAAATCTCTAGTTAAGGATATACCCCAGAACTGCTGGGTTTGTTTCACTTTAGATTTTTTATATTACACATACCCACTCACTTGCATATATTTCGTTTACTAGTGCTGACAATACAAATGGATTTGCAATGATTTATTATCGTATTAAATTGAATTCAAACAGGAACACAAAAAAAAAAAAATTAAAAAAAAAAATTAAAAAAAAAAATTTGAAATAAAAATCTATAGAACACAAAACGACACGGTAAAAGGAAACCTCTGTCAAACAAATGTAAAAAATCTACAACAACAATATGATTTAAATCAAATATAAACTAAAAGGAAAAAAAATATATAGAAAATTATAAAATAATAAACAAAATATATAACAAGTTGGAAAAATAACTACAAATAAACTTGATATATGAGTGGATATAGCAAGAAAATGGAGGTAGAAATCTGAGAAATAAATAAATCAAAGTATAAAAAAAATGGGAAAAGAGGAAACGGAAATCAAAAGTAAAACAAGCAAGTGAAAAATATTAAGTTAATACGAATTGAAAAGCCGATAGTGCAGGATTATAGTCTAAATTGTAGTCTACAGATTATGTGCTACATTATAGACTATAGAATAGACTATAGACTAAACTATAGACTAGACTATAGACTAGACTTTAGACTAGACTATAGACTAGACTATAGACTAGACTATAGACTAGACTATAGACTAGACTATAGACTAGACTATA